ATGCCCAGCTAATGTTTTGTATTTTTAGTAGAGATGGGGTTTCACCATGTTGACCAGGATGGTCTCGATCTCTTGACCTCGTGATCCACCCGCCTTGGCCTCCCAAAGTGCTGGGATTACAGGCTTGAGCCACCGTGCCCGGCCTGATAATTTACTGTTATTGATTTCTAATTTAGTTTGGTCATGGTCAGAGAATAACGCCTAGATGACTTCAGTGTCTAATACTGATTGAGGCTTTCCCCTTTCACGGGGTCTCCTTTCATAAATGTCCCATGTGGCGTTGAAAACAATGTGTATTCTGCTGTTGCTGGTTGGGGGGAGGGTCTGATTTATTGTTGATTGACATATCTTTATTTTACTAGGTCAGATCTGTCAGTTTGGTGACAGCCTGGGTCTCGCCTGTCCATGGATGCAGAGTGTAACTATAGCTCCTTCCTGCGAGAGGGGAGAGTGTGGTGCACTCCCTAACGTTTCAAATCACTGCTAAGCCTGCATCTTGGGCTGGGTGCTGGAACACACATGGGAGCAGCAGGGTCCCAAAGACTTACTGGTTGGTGGGAGAAGACAACCATGGAAATGAGAGCGAGCTGCATAGGGCTTGTGGCTCATGGGCTTCCTGCCAGGGCAGCTTGCAGGAGGCGATGCACCTGCAGGGCTGCCCCTCAGCTCCCCAGCTTGAGCCGCTCCCCAGGATTCTGGACTCAGCCGTTCCAGCAGTTGCTCCAGACATCTCAGCCTTATCATGTCCAGAAACGAACTCCAGATCCTTGCTCCACACGTGCTCCACCCTGGTCTTCTCATCTCTGTTCTCACTGCTCAGACAGAACTCAGCTCAGACAGAATGTCGTTCTGACAGCAGATTGTGTCCGCTCTTCAAACCCTGTTCAGAAACCAGTCCCCCCTCACCGCCTCCCACGGCCACCTTGATGTCAGGGAGCGCCTGCTCCTCCCACTCCCCAGCCTGTTCTCCACCCAGTGACTGGACACAGCTCTGCCCAGACCCGTCTATCAGGTCGATCTCAGAGTCAAAGCAGATTCGTCTCCAGACCCACAGATGCCGGCACCCTGCTGTCCCACCTGCACCCCCCTTGCGTGGCCCTCGCCCGCCCTCCCCCACCTGCATCCTTTGCTCCAGCTCTGTCAGCCTCCCCCCCTGCCTCCTCACTGAGGCCTGCCCTGGCCCCTGCAAACAACAGCCCCTCATTTCTCTCCCCTAACTTCTCTTCCCTCATAGAGAAAGTCACGTGTCACTGTATGTATTAGTCTGTTCTCATTCTGCTATAAGGACATACCCAAGACTGGGTAATTTTAGAGTCAAGTGTTTATGAAGGAAAGAGGTTTAATTGACTCACAGTTCCACAGGGCTGAGGAGGCCTCAGGAAACTTACAGTCATGATGGAAGGGGAAGCAAACATGTCCTTCTTCACAAGATGGCAGGAAGGAGAAGTTCCAAGCAAAAGGGGGAAAAGCCCCTTATAAGACCATCAGATCTTGTGAGAACTCACTATCAGGAAAACAGCAGCGTGGGGGTAACCACCCCTATGATTCAATTACCTTCTACCAGGTCCCTCCCACCACATGTGGAGATTGCGGGAATTACAATTCAACATGAGATTTGGGTGGGGACGCAGGCAAACCATGTCGCCGTATAACACACTGATTTGTTTATCCTGTGCACTCCTGTGCCCCATTGAACGTAAACAGCCTGTAGGAAGGATGTCCACTTCTCTGTCCACCCCGGAAATGTCTGTTGAATGTTTAAGGATGATGGGACATCAGCGGGCAGAGGGAGGAAGGGCATTTTAGGAGCAAGAATTTGTTGGAAGAGTGTATGAAATAGCAGGGCCCCTTCTAGAAACTAGTGTTGGCAGCAGAAACGTGGGAGCATTTTTCAAGTGACGACTTATGGTCTGGGAAACTGAGGGGTTTGCTCTGCAACCTCTGGTTCCGGGCAGTTTGTTTGTATTTCTTATTGGAGAACAACTTTTGAAAGAAAAAATGTTGAAATCCGATTAACATTTTTTTCAAACAAAAAGAAACACAGGAGGGTTCAATCCAATTGGACCAATTCCCGCTAATCCCATTTATCACTTTAAAAGATAGTAAAGAAGTTTGGGAGGTTTCTCAATCCATTCAAAATCGTTCTTGACTTCATAGATTATAGTTTGTGAAAATTATTTCTCATCCTTCTTGCTTGATTGAAACTAAGACAACAGAACATCCCGTGGTCTGAAACCTGAGGACTTTGCTCAAGTTTTAATGTGGGTTCATGCTTTAAGGAGCTGGTTTTTCAGAAACTTTGGTTTGAGCCTTTTTACAATGTGCACAAAGAATCTGTTGCTGTTAACTGTCAGGCTGCCAGTGTCTCTGGGCGACACACATTGCTGTGTTTTTTCTCTGCTTGGTGAGCAGAGATAAAGGGGGCAGCGGGACCAGGCCTACCAGCCATCTGAGCTGCCCACACAAACCGCAGGGCTGAATCCGGAGTGGCCCAAGGGCCACACAGCCCTGCCGAGTATGCGGATGCTTCTGTGATCTTGTGAAGGTGATAGAAAAAGGCTGCTTGAAAAGCTGTCTAAGACCTTTGAGAAAGTAGTTACTTTTGAGAAATAGGGCCTGCTTGGAATGGGTACTCGGTGGGATTCTATTCTTTGGAACACTTCTTTCTTCTGAGATCCCGAGGGCTGTGGCGGGTGGTACAGGCAGGCCCTTCCTTTCCTAGTTAGGTTCTGACAGCTCCGAGGCAGTGGTTTACACAACCAAGGCGAAACTCGTCTGGGATCCACCCGATTCCTCCCCTCATTGATATTCAGGAGGCAGCTCTCCTTCCCCTGCCTTCAGTGCAAGTTTGCTGAGCCTTTGTTTCATCTGTGAATAGTTCTTGCTGGTAGTCCCGCCAGAGACCAGTGCTCCCAGCAGCCGTGGAGGGGGAGGTAAGTGCTCAGACATTAAGCCGTTGAGTAGAGGCATATTTTGCAATCTCTTGTTTAGCTACCAATTGGAGCAGTTTAATGTGCTTGAGTCCTCGGAGTCAGGGGTTCGTGGACAAAGCTGCCGATGGAAGTTGTCAGGTATTGTACTTGGAGCACCCAGATGGATCGATGAAGCTTTTAAAGCCTAGAATCTTGTCCTGAACCCAGACCATTCAGGTTTGATATTTTTCAGTTTTAGAGTCAAGTGCTCATTTTCTTTTTTTTTTTAAGTTCATATATATATATATATATATATATGTATATTTTTTTAAGACGGGGTTTCACCACATTGGTCAGGCTGGTCTCGAACTCCTGACCTCAGGTGATCTGCCTGCCTCAGCCTCCCAAAACTGCTGGGATTACAGGCGTGAGCCACCACACCTGGCTTCAAGTGCTCATTTTCTTTTTCAAGTTTATAGCACTTCAGTATGAACAATATTTCTTTTGTTAAAAAATATTTATTGGAAACAACTTATTGAAGCTTTTTCAGAGTGGCCAAAACCAGTGATAATTTTATTCCAGATAAAGAACTCGTGACAGGTGGCTGTACACTCAGCACAGCAGTGGTGTCCCTGAGTGCCATGACCCAGGAGCCATTCAGAGAGGAGCTGGCCTATGACCGGATGCCCACGCTGGAGCGGGGACGGCAAGACCCCACCAGCTACGCCCCGGATGCGAAGCCAAACGACCTGCAGCTGTCAAAGAGACTGCCCCCCTGCTTCAGCCACAAGATGTGGGTCTTCTCCGTGTTGATGGGGGTGAGTAGCTCCATGCCAAGACCTTGGAGGGCCATGAGCCCCTGGTCCCTCTGGTGATGGACCGCAGCACCCTGGAGCCCCAGATGGACAGAAGGAGCAGCTCTCAGGCTCACCCTGCTGCTGCACAACTCTTGGATGCTGATGAGCTTGTTTTGCTTGTGTTTTCAGAGTGATTTTCATTAATTTATGGGTGTCTGCTGTGCCAGCCCCGAGCTGCTCCAGGCTGCAGCTGAGTCCCACTAGGCCATGGACAGTCCCGGGGCCACGCATGGGCCCAGGGAGCTTCCATGACCCTCAGTCTGGGGGCCAAGGGTCCTCTGAGGAGTCACCTGCAAAGGTGGGAGGAGGCATCTCAGGTTCTCAGGTCAGGACCAACCAAGAGAGCCTGGGGGACCTCCTCCTGGGCGGAGGGGGGGTGGGGGGAGGGCGGCTGGGAGGGAGGTGGTGGATGAGGGAGCAGGCCTGGGGCAGACGGGGAGTGCCAGATGTCTGAGGGAGTTCCCTGGGGTCCTGGTTGTTACCCACACAGCCATGGGCACAGAGATGATTGGAGGAGCCGCTTTGGCCTGAGTGTGCACAGAGCCAGGCCACGGGACAGGCTTCTCTGCAGGGACCCCAGGCTCCGTGCAGCCTGGGCTGAGAATGAGGCCTCGATCTCTCCCCTCCCTGCGCCCCAGGCTGAGCTGGTTGCCCCTGTAGCACCCACAGTGGTCCTGCCCACCTCTCATGCCCTGAGCATGCCCACCAACACAGGCGTGTCCCTTGGAGCTGGGGACAGAGGCAGCTCCTGAGTGCTGGCGGCCATCTCCGGCTCTGCCCGCTTCAGCCCAGTGCCCTAGACTGGGTAGCAGCCCTTCCCCTGCCCCAGCCGGGGCCCCTCTGCCCTAGGTGGCACTTCCTCTGCCAGGACCGCAGGTCCCAGTGACCTTTGACACTGACTCCCCCTCAGTCTAACCCTACAGTGCTGTGCATGTCAAAGAGAGTCCCCATCCCTGCCTCCTGCAGGGCCTTCCTTGCTTGGGACCCCCTGGACCTGGAGTCCCTGACTGGAGGGATCATTTTCCAGATCTGGAAATTAGGTTCTGCAGAGGGAGGGGGATGGGCAGTTGTTTCCCAGTCTCATATCTGGACCTGGGGGAGGGATCTGGAAGACTCTGAACACACAACATGTTGCGGGGGCATTTTGGGGGAAGAGGTGCTGTCCCTTGCTCTAAATATTGGCATACCCCCTCCTTCTCTCCTCCAAATCACAGCGTGAGGGTCCATGCTCCGACATGGCCGGGGGAGGCTGGTCCATTGCCTGGGCTGCGGTGTGACTGCACCCGCCCTACAGGGAGGAGTCCAGGTTGGACAGGGCCCGGGTGCAGGTGCGGTTGGTGCTGTGGGGTGCGGGTGAGTCACCAACGCACACAGATAGTGAAACGGAAGGTGAAGGGTCAGTGTCCGGCCCGGATGGGCGGCTGTAACCTGGCTCCTGTTGCTGTGTTGCAGAGCTGCCTCCTCGTGACCTCGGGGTTTTCGCTGTACCTGGGGAATGTGTTCCCTGCCGAGATGGATTACTTGCGCTGCGCTGCAGGCTCTGTAAGCAGCTTCCTCTGGGCCTCTGCGGGTGCCTGAGCTTGCCGGCACGTGCTTGTTTCTTTGCTTTGAGATGTGTGGGTTTCTGTCACCTGTTTCTCATTAAAATCTCTTCATATGCGCCCGGCATGGTGGCTCACACCTGCAATCCCAGCACTCTGAGAGGCCAAGGGGGGCGGATCACGTGAGGTCGTGAGGTCAGCAGTTCAAGATTGGCCTGACCAACATGGAGAAACCCAGTCTCTACTAAAAATACAAAAATTAGCCGGGCGTGGTGGTGGGTGCCGGTAATCCCAGCTACTCAGGAGGCTGAGGCAGGAGAATGGCTTCTGGGAGGCAGAGGTTGCAGTGAACTGAGAAGCCTGGGCGACAAGAGTGAAGCTCCATCTCGAAAAAAAAAAAAGACAAACGAAAAAATCTTCATATGCCTTTAGTTTCATGTAGGATTCATCACCTTTGAGAATTACTGATGGAGCAGGTCTGAACCTTGATCTGCAGATGCCTGTGCGGGGAATTACATGTTGATTCAGAGGCTACGGCTGTGTCCTACCAGAGCGGGCAGCATCTGCCCTCAGGGGACTGAGACCTGTGCCCCACACCCTCCCAAAGCTTCGTGCTGTGTTTCTGGAACCTTATCCACTGCCAAGGCTGGTGGGGGTACCCACTGATCCTCTGAGCAGTGGAGGAGAGACAGCTGTTGACCCCTGATCCTCTGTAAGCACAGTGCTGGCGGACCCCTGGGCTCTGGCCCACAAGCCACTGACCCTGTGTCCTCTCCACTTCAGCCGGCCGGGAGCACCACGCCTCCTCTCACTTCCCAACCCCTGCTGGGTCTCTGGCCCCTGCCCTTCCTGTAAGGCCCCTGTTGGTGACTGTCCCCAGCAGTGCCCCCCAAATGTCTTAAAAACAAAGTGGACGCCCCGCACCCTACTGTCCTGGGTCTCTGCTCTCTTAGAACAAAGCCCTTTGGAGCAGGTGACCCATCCCACTCTGCTGCCCCCTCTGGAAGCTTCTCCGCGACCTTTGTCATCACTGGGGAAACCACCCTTGTCCCAGTGGGCTGTGCCCCTTCAGCCTCAGCGGCGGCCAGACAAGCACAAGTGCCTGCCCCTGCCCAGCTCTGGCCCTGCCCTTGGCCTTTCTTCTCCACCGTGGACCCTTGTGGCACCGGAGTGGGTGCGGAGCTGAGCCTGGCTGTCCTGGCCCCAGCTCTGTCCCTCACTCAGGCCCCGATGGGGCTTCTCCTGCCTCCTCACCCAGCAGTCCTGTGCTCGGCCCCTCAGACACCCCTGCCTACGTCCCTGCCTCAAGGTCCAGGGTCCCATGGCTTCGGGAGCAAGGCCCACAGGGCTGGGCAGGCCTGACATCCCCACCTCCCTGCCCCGACTTCCCCACCTCCCTCCCTGGCCCTGGACTCCTAGCCTTGGTGTGGCTCTGTGGGGACAAGAAGGCTGAGGGGCTCTGGGACTCCTTTCTGCTTCCTTCACACGTAGACTCTTTCTCCTTCCTTCACCCCTTTCTTTCTCTCTCTTTCTCTTTCTTTTCTTTCTTTTTTCTTCTTTCTTTTCTTTTGTTTTCTTTCTTTCCCCTTCCTTCCTTCCTTCCTTCCTTCTTTCCCTCCCTCCCTCTCTCGCTCTCTATTTCTCTCTTTTTCCCTTTCTTTCGTTCTACATGAGTGTGCACAGAGCCAGGCTGCAGGCCAGTCCTCTCTGCAGGGACCCCAGGCCCCGTGCAGCCTGGGCTGACAAAAGCCTGGACTGACTTTCTTTCTCTCTTTCTTTTCTTTCTTTCCTTCCTTCCTTCCTTCCTTCCTTCCTTCCTTCCTTCCTTCCTTC